CCCCCCCTCTCCAGGTCAATAAACTAAACAAACTCTACCTTGAATAATCATCATTTCTCCTCCCTCATTTTCCTAAATAAAAGGAAAACCTGTTTCTTTTGCAACTTTATCTATAACCTTTTAAACTTCATTTACTCAACTAAATCAGTCTAAGTTAATATTCTCTTGTTAAACAACCTCCTCAATTAAGCAACCTGATCCATCCATTAAGTGCCGCTCTTCTAGCTAAAATTCTAAAAAATTGCCTTGATGCTTATTTTAGGAAATAGGAAAGACCTTTGTGTAACTGCAGATTGAGATGAAGCTATTTTGTATAAGATTAAGTAGAATTTCTGTTACCGTTTCTGCTTTACTTTCAACTTATAACAAAGAAATGTATGGAAATAGCTGAGTGTAGAAATTTGCAACCCACAACACTGATTAATCGTAACTGTTACAATTTCCTCAAATGTGATTGGTGCATTAGCTGCTTTATTTTTCACTAATCATTCTGAAGAGTTTTAATCAAACAGTTAAAGCAGCCAAACATAGTAAGTCCACTCAGCTAAATCCACCAATCACAGAAAATAATTTAAGTGGATAAATAGAGACTTGTGGAATTGAAGAAGGAAATTATTTAGTTCTCAAAGGTAGAGAACATAGGCGATCAACAAAGAACTCTCTGTGTACATATGACTTTTTTTTCTGGCTTATTTAGATCGTCAGATCAAACTTGTCAAAGTATCTGCTTTATGCTTGCCTCTTGCACAGCTTGAATCCATGAATGCAGCTTCAAATGACTCAACAGAATCAGCACAGAGAAATGGAAAATATGTTTATACTCTAACAGGTACACCTTTAGAGTGTCTTCCCTGTGCTTACCAACAATTCTTGTATCTCACTCAATTTTGGAATTAGGAAATTTGAAGGGGCGAGTAAGGGGAGAGACTGGTTGAAAGAAAGGAGGGACTGGAGCTAATCCGAGATGTGTGACTTTTTACTTTTATGTGTCATTTCTGGTCTTTTATGTTGTTTTGGATTAATCCCGTTAACTGCAAATGTGACCAAAAAGCGAACAGTCAAAAAATCTATTCGGCTCATATTCTCAAGCTAAGTGGGTCTTACAGTGAAACAAAGCACTGCATACTTCCTTTGGCTGAAAACGCTTGAAGAGATAAAAAGTACCCTATCTTGAAAAACAATATCAAAACATCAGGTGACAGTAATCTGGATAATTCTTGATTGTTTTGTACAGTATACACTTTTCAATCTCATAAGGATTTTTTGGGGAAATGAGTCAGTGTGATTTAATCAAATTTTAACGTTGGATAAAATGCGCTGAGTTGATGGTGCCGTCAGTTTGTTGAAAATGTACACATCCATACGCAAACTCGATTGTTTGGAATTTTGCATCCAAACTACAGCTTTTCAAGATAATACCCACTTACCCTCCATTTTGCTCTATCACAACAGAGGATTGCAGTTCTGACATCATTGCATCACTCTTGTGGTAGCGATATAACTTGGAAGGATAGTCAACTCCTGATAACGATTGTTTACAAGGCGTATCTCGGGGTTTCTCTACTCCCATTTCGTTGAAAAGGAGGCTGTAATTACTTCAAGCATTAAGAGATCTCTGTTTAATCATAGGCCTTCAACTGAAGCGCAGACCAAATGTAAGCGGAATGTTGCTAGTTCAGAAACATGTTTCTCACAAACAACCGATCTAAATATGCGAAGCAAAAAATTCGTTAAACAAGAGTTCAGTGAAAAGACGGGTAATTCAGTTTCTAGACTTTTAAGCACGAGATTCCTCAGTGACCGAAGTGTTTTTTACCGTTCTGGAAGAATGATCGACTGTACCAACGACCAGAATTCAGGCTCAGCACCGGGGTCACAGTGATATCTGTTTCATCATCTCATTTGCGACACGTGCTCCCCTGGAGGAAACACAAAAAATGTTCTCTTCAAAATAGCTCCTGGCATCAAGTTCATCCCAAAAGCAAAGCAGAAGTTTTTCCTATCGATTAACTTGTTATGAAATTCATCAAAATGTCTTGCATTGGAAAGCTTTTTGGTTTTGAGTCTGGTTATCTCTCAAAAATTAAAACAGGCTCAACCACATTGCTGTGCTCCTCATCAGGGAGACTTACAATTTTTCACCTCACCCCCCTGGCATGGTGGTGTGTCGATTCGTATGAAACGTACGATTCGTGAATCTTATCATGGGAACCATAAAAACGAAATGCATCATTTTTTTCTGTGGCAAACATGCAAACTTGTTTGATGCGTTGCTGAGTAATGAGAAGCGTCTTTAGGGTGTTATGTTGTTTATGTTCCATTCCGGTAGAGAATGCTAACATTTAGACATTCATCATTTCACCTTTTTTGTCTTTACAATGAAAGTGTGTTCCCGGGCTGGTCTGTCTCCGGGCTGGTTGGCATATCATGTGTCATTTCTGGTTCTCTTTTGTCCATTGCAAAAGCCCCAAATACCTCTTCAAAAAGGAAAAGAAAAGATGGTAGTGACCAAACAAAGTCTGTTCAAGATGGGTAAACTTTACAAAGCCTGTCATAGTATGATTTAATTATAACTGTCAATAATCTTAATGGTTACTTCCCACCTTCAGATACCGAAAAAATTTGCTTTTTTGTTTTATTTGACTAAATTGAAGTCAAAAATTTTATTTCACGTTTCCGAAAAAAAAATTAAAAATCTGCAAAAGCGTCCGAGTTGTTTAGAAAAACGTCTTTTCAAAAAAAAAAAGTTAGCACAACAAAAAAATAAAAAAATAAAAATCGACCAAGATTCCAACGCACTTAAACGATAGAACAACAAATTCAGTCAGTGTTAGTGAAAGCTCGCTAACATGAGAACAAACTAATCTCAATTTCTCAATTATGCAACTCAAATGAGAAAGAAAATCATTGTTCCAATAAGGCGCACTTCGATTTCAGTTTAATAACTAAAGTGGTTAGACTGTATAAACATTTTGAATTGATTTTACTATTATTATCATAATTATTAATAACTTTCGCATTTCCTGATTTTCCTCTTAACCACGAGTTACTGTTTCCGTTGCAACTTTCCCTTTACATCCTTCTTGGATTGTATTGCCTTTTTTTATAGCGTGTCTACGGGAAAACCGGATATGTTCAGACCGAGAGGTTCCTTCGATTTGCAATTTTAGAGCTCTTTCCAAAGTGACCCTCTTGATAAAGGATGTGATAAAACGATATCCTTGGCAGCACCTTAGGAAATGTAAAGATAACATCATGGAGAATGTGCATACTGATGTGAGAGTGAAAAGGATTATTATTATCCAACTGTGCTACAAATAATGCCCAGAACGAGTATAAATATCTCGCGGTATTTGTACTCCAGAGAACCGGTTAGACAGGTTTTCTCGCATCGCGCAAGCGACCAATTGGATTGAAGTTATAAAAAAAATGGCGGGCAATTTAAATTGTTTTTCTGACGACGAAGAGTCGCAATGGCTGGCAAATATTGATCCAAGTTTATCAGATAAATTGGACGAAAAAAAAGCAGTTAGACGAGAATACTTCTGTCACGCACTCAACGTAAATAAATATCCGCGAAATTCGCCAGCACTTGAAATAATCCTTTATTAAACGTTTTGTTGTGTTAATGTATATTAATCCCGGCATTTGTTAACTGTTATTCTAATTTGTCAGTATATTTGGAATACATTTCTGTTAACAAGATGACTCAGTGAAGGGTAAAACTTGGAACGTGGCGATTGTTGCGACTAGCCGAGTAAAAATGTAACATCTTTAACATTATGATATTCACTGTATTCTTCTTTTTCTTCCGATTACAATACAGTCCCAGACGATTCAAACAAAACACAACGAAAAGAGAAGAATGAGAGAGAAGTTTGTATAGCATCAAGTGCAGCTGTAGAAGGTATACCATGTGCCCTTCGGTAGTTTAATATCTAATTTAACCAATTTTGGAATGGGAAAATT